ATCTTTTCCCCTTTCTGTGTTTGTAATTCTGATATTATGTTTATCTCTTCCTTGTCTATCCTGTCCAGTTATTGTCACTATTACAAATCTTTTATCTGACCCCTTCTCTATATTCTTACTGGTAGGACCCTAGTATAAACATCATTATCACCCACCTCTACTCTTTCCATATAGTTTCTTACCTCTACTCTTTCCCTTTCCAATTGTTGTTGATGTTCAGTTGTTTTTTCAGCCATATCTGACTCTTTGTGACTCCATTTGGGGTTTTCTTGGTAAAGATAATGGAATGTCTTTCCATTTCCTTCTCTAGCTCATTTATAGATGAACAAACTGAGGCTAACAGAGATTTGCCCAGGCTCACACAGCTAATAAGTCTCTTAGGCCAGATTTGAACTCAGGAAGATGGGTCTTTCTGACTCCAGACCCAGCACTCTATCCACTGCACTACCTACCTGGCCCTCCTTCCAATTGATATCGTGGAAGAAGCACCAGCACTAGAGTCAGAAAAACTGGTTCAACTTAGTCTTATTACCTACCAAATGGGATAGCATATGCACAAGTTCCTTGAAATCCTTAAAGCAATATATGTCTTATTGTTTCCTGTGTGACCATGAACAGGTCACTTAATCTCCCTGGGCCTCAGTTTCTTCATTTATAAAATGAGGATGTTGGACTAGATGACATCTGAGATCTATGGTCCTATGAATTTCCATACCACTGCCAAAATAATCTTCCTCATTCATATAACCTAATCACATTCCTGGGATCAGAAATCTTCGGTGGCTACCTACTGTCTATAGAGTAAAGCTCAAATTCCTCTTAGTCAACAAACACTTATTAAGCACCTATTATGTGCCCGGCACTCTGCTAGGCACTGGGAATTCTCTCCCTGGCATTCAAGAACCTCCACAATTTGTCCTTTCTGGGATTCAAGACCCTCTCTATCTTTTCAATGTTATCTTATTCCCCACTACACATTTTGGCCTCCCTAGACTAATTTCAGTACTCTAAATATGCACTGCACCTGAATGCCCCATATTTTCCTGATTCCAAGCTTTTGCTCAGATTTTGTCTTGTGCCTGAAATGCCCATTCTACCCCCTTTACCTGCTGAATTCTAACATATCCTTTAAAGCCCAACTGAAAGGCCTTCTCCAAAGACTACCTTGCCTCTCACCCCTTTAGTAACAACTTCTCTTCTTGTACCTCATACTTCGTAATTCAGATGCACTTATATAGCATTATGATTTACAGCTGTACTGGTACCTTACCTCCTGTTAAACTCTAAACCACATGATGGGGAGGGACTGTATTTTATCGAAACTTTGTATATTCTCCTGAACCTAACAGTCTGCACACAGCAGTTATTTTTAAAATGTTCTTTGTGGTGCTGGTTTTACTGTACCATGGATAGAGCACGCAGAGTTGGGTGTTCCCTTGCACCATATATTACAAGCTTGAGCTGTTGTTCCATCTTTCTCTTCCAGTAATGCCCTCTTTCCAGTTCAAATAAATACCTCATCAGCCTAATGTTGACAGACAATTAATTCTTCTTGAGTGGGTTATTTTTCCATTCATTATTCATATTCTTAGCATATGGCATTTGCAGTAGCCATCTGTGGAGTTTAGGGTGGGAGGAGAGGAAGAAGCTAGTCACATCGAGGAAACTGTTTCAGTCTTACTCCCTGCAGACAGGAGCAACAAAAACAGAGTAGAGGAGGTATACTCTAGTGAGGTAATTTTACCATTTAGTGTATTGTTCAGTCTTTTGTCAGTTGTGTCTGACTCTTTGTGACCCCATGTAGGGTTTTCTTGGCAAAGATGCTACGGTGATTTGCCATTTCCTTCTCCAGCTCATTTTAGATGAGGAAACTGAGGTAAACAAGGCTAAGTGACTTGCTTTCTCTGAGACCAGATTTGAACTCAGGAAGATGAGTCTTTCTGACTTCAGGCCCAGCACTCCATCCTCTGCACCACCTAGCTGCCCTCCCATTTAGAGAGTGACTAAATAGAAGGCTGCTGAAATGTCAACTTTTCATATCACATTACTTCTTCCACATTAGTGCCTAAAAAGCCTCAATATCTTCCAGTGGTAGAAAGAGGCATCAGTAGAACTGGGGCTTGCCTTTTAATGCTTAGACGAGCAAAGATTACCCCAAGTGGCCAAGCCAAAAAGGTATGACCAAAACTTTATTAAATAACAGATACAATTCTAGAAACATGGCTGTTTGTTTTTGTAAGGGGCCTTCCCTCCATTCCTTCCATCAACTGCTCTCTTCTCCCACCTCCTAACCAACACTTCCCCATAGGTTTTGAGAGATGTGGATGAAACCTAGGAATAGAAAAGGATACAAATGAGGAAGAAATAAAATGAGAGACAGAAGAGGATGAATGTCTGATTTTGGAATGGGAAAGGGAGGCAGAAATCCTGCTAAATTAGAACAAAGACCCCTGTAAAGAAGGATTGTGGTTTCCTGGGTTGGAAGACTCCTTTCACTGAAGCATCGCTAGTCTCAGTGCTCTTCCAAGCATCTCTGCCCAAAAGAAGCAGTTCGGCAGAGCAAGAATCCTCCACTTGCCAGGATGAAATACCTACTTTTGTCACTGCTTTGTTGATAACTATATTTCCATTTCTGCTAACTCTACCTTGGTTTTTCTGTTGCTCTTTGAAACCCGACAGATCACCTACTGAATCTAAGTCTTAGTGAACAATTATTCCTACCAAAGATTATTTAAACATTCCCTTGAAATTTAATTACTTCCATGAACCAGACAGGTACTTTGACACTTTCAACATCAAAGTGATCCAAAGTGAAGACTTGTCATCTTTTCTCGCCATCCCCCTATTAAATTCCAGCATGGCAGGAAAAGAACTGGGCTGAGTCAAAACCAGTGGGCAAGTCCTGCCTTTGCTACTAACTTACTGTGTGACTTTCAGCAAGTTACAACCTCTCTGCACCTGTTTTCTGCAAAATTAAGGGGACTAGATGACTTATAAAGTCCTTTCCAACTCAGGATTCTACAAATGACCAGCCACTTTCCACTCCCATCTCAACCTCACTACGTCAATCCTCCTAGGAAGAGATGGCAGATAAGGGACAAAAGGGGAGAATTCTTCCCATATTCCCACTAACCTGCCAGCAAGTAGAGACCTCAAAACCCCACTTGCCCCCCAGTGCTTACTACCTGTGTCTTTCCCTGAGCCGTCTTCATTTGTAAAGTAAGATAGTTGAGCTAAACTGGAGTCCCTTCCAGCTCTAAACTGATGATAGTTAGAGGCAGCTAGTTGATCCAATGGCTAGAGTGCTGGGCCTGGAGTCAGGAACATCGGAATTCAAACCCAGCTTCATGTATTTACTAGCTCTGTGATCTGTTAACCTGTCTGCCTCAGTTTTCTCAACTGTAAAATGGGGATAATATGTACCTCCCAGGGTTATCGTGAGGCTCAAATGAGATACTCATAAAATGCTTAGCACAGTGAATGGCACACAGTATGTACTTAATACTTGTTTCTTTCCCCTACTATAAAATGAAATATTTTATTGGCGTTTCAAGAAAGTGATAAACTAAGGAAACATTTGATCCTGCCCTCTTCTTTTGTATCTTGCCTTTAAAACCTTCAGTTTTTCATTTTTCTTTTAATGTGCTCAATTCTTCAAAAGTTTCCAAGTATAAAATGTGACACTTTACACATAGGTTAGAATAAGTACTCACAGATTGCCAGTGTAAAGTAACACAAAATGGACTTGCCTCCCTTTTTCCATACCTAGAAAAATCATTAAGTAGCAAAGTAGGGTTCTGAACTCCAAATATAGTCATATATATATATATAGTCCTAACTCCAAATATAGCATTCTTCCCACTTCTCTTATCTCAAGAAAATCTCTGCTCCCACTGTCTTTTAATTTTTTAAATTGTCTGTTTTTTCAGTCAGCACAAGTCTGCCTTCTCATCTTCCCACCCTAACTCTTCCCCATCACCACTACCAAGAACTAAAGAAAAACAAACCCAGTTACAGATCCATATAGTTAATCAAAACACATTTCCACATCGGCTGTGTCCAAATATTTGTCTCACCCTGCATTCTGAAGTCCACGTCACTATCAGGAGAGGGGTAGTGTGTTTCATTATTAGTCTTCTGGAATTGTGGTTGGCCAATAAGTTGATAAGAGTGCCTAATTCTATGCTGAAGATAACCATCTGAGGGGGACGGAGATGGATGCACAATTGTCATATCAAAGGAAGCAACATTACTGTAGCAGCATCCATCTTGTTTAAGCCTTCCATTGTTAGCGTTTGAGGTTTTATGATATACTTTATACTCATAACTGATGTGGTTGGAGAATTGGTACTGAATTTATAGCATCAGCAGAACAGAAAACGTGATGTATTTTATGTATGTCAATAAAGGAATGACCTGTTCTTGTTCTACAGAGAATGGAAATTGGAAATCAAACACCCCTTGTATTCCAAAATAGGGTCCTGAACTTCTTGTAATTTTCATTTAAATTTTGTTAGGAGACTTGGAGCTATTAGTTAATCTATCTTCCAATACACTGTTTAATATAGCACTGAATAAATGATGCAAGTTGTCAATGGATGAGTGATCAACTAATAGCTCTGCTAGTAATTGATTTATTTTTCTTCAATAAAATTGCATAAACAAAAAAAAAGTGTCTAATTCTTTCCAAGGCATTTGCCTTTACAATATTGTTATCATTGTATAAGTTGTTCTGGTTCTGCTCACTTCACTTAGCATCAGAACATACAGGTTTCTCTAAAACCACGGCCTTCATCATGTTCTTTCATTTCTGTGACTCGATTCCCCATTCACTCAGTGACACTGACTTTGACTCTTATTTCACTTGGATATTCCACCTTATGTGATCCATTGCACAGAATCTGACCCCTATGGGAAGCCTGCTCTATGTACCCTGTATTGATTCCCTTATCAGTGCTAACATAAGTGAAGAAATTTTAAAAACAAAAACAAAACACAAAAGGGGTTGAGGGAGACTTTTATTTTCATCAGAAACAGTAATGTTTACAAACTCGTACAAATATTTGTTGAAGGAAAGGCAAGCCAATTTCTAATAGCCATGTTCTTAACTTACAGGCTAGAACTGGGACAAAATAAGAGATCACTACATTTTACTTCGCTTCAGTTTTTAAAAAGGCAAACCCAAATATTACATATATTCTAAAACCAAGTCATCCTACATTGGCTTGACCCTACTCCACTCCACTTTATTGGTGATGTTTTTCTATTCCTTCTATGCAATTGTGAACATCTCCCTTTTTACTCAATAGATCACAGTGCCAAAGATCCTCAAAGACCTAAAACTGGATTACTGGTTACCTATGGCTTAATTCTGAATGCATATTCACATCAGGAGGAAATATGCTACAGTATTAACTACCTCTACCTGAAGGATATGTGATTCCACATATCCTGGCCTTGGAGTTAGGAAGGCCTGGGTTCAAGTCATGTCTCTGACACAGTTGGGTTACCATGGGCAAGTCACAACCTTTTAGTAACCCAAACAATCTAAGACTCTAAGTTAAATGTAACTTACTTATCTGTACTGGTGAAAGGATTTTACACATTAGGGGTTCCATACATTGATGGAATCGTAGTTCTAAATCTAACCAAAAAAAAAAAAAAAGACCCACCAAGACCAGATCTGAAACACTTTTCACCTCTATTGGTTTGTCTGCACATCTTTAAGTGCTTGTGGGATCACAGAAAGAAAGGACTATTCCAAGGCTGAATTCATGGATCACATTTCTTTGCCTTACTAAAACTATGTAACAATAGGGCAGATTTAGTCAGAGCTGAGAAGTTTGATCCAGGTTTCTTGATTCTCTTCCTGAACTCTACAAAGCCAGCAAGAGATAGTTCTTAGGATATGGATCCACAGTCAGCTGTGATTTAAGAATTCTCTGTCATCCTTTCCCCCAAGCATCATCTTTTTATGATACGTTTCTCTCAAGTACATTAAGCCTTGACTGAATCAGAAACTTCTCTCTCATATGAACTCCCTGGTGTCTAGTAAGGGCAGAGCTCTTACTGAAGCTTTTCCCACACTGAGGACATTCATAGGGCTTCTCACCAGTGTGTGTTCTCTGATGGGCATTGAAGTGGGAACTATTGTTGAAACTTTTCCCGCACTCCCTACATTTATATGGACTCTCCCCAGTGTGAGCTCGCCGATGAGCACTAAACTGGGAGCTATTGTTGAACCTTTTCCCACACTCGTTACACTGATATGGCTTTTCTCCTGTGTGGGTTCTCTGGTGGACAATGAGGCTTGAGCTCTGATTAAAGCTTTTCCCACACTCACCACACTTGTAGGGCCTCTCTCCAGTATGGGTCCTCAGGTGTGCAGTGAGGTTGGAACGCTCACTGAAACTTTTTCCACATTCATTGCATTTGTGGGGTTTCTCACCTGTGTGGATTCTCTGATGCCTAACAAGATAAGAACCACGGCTAAAACTTTTCCCACACTCGTGACATTTAGTAGTCTTTTCTAATTCAGGGGTTGACTTGTGGGAATTTTGAGAGAAGCTATTTCCACGTGCAAGTTGTTTATAGTGTTTTTCTCCAACAGAGAGTTTCTGTTGACCTAGTTTCTTCATTAAATCTCTGTCCTGGAAAGCTGGTTTCCCTTGTCTCTCTCGTGGAAAATTCCTAAGTTGTTTTCTCAACTTGTTCACAGTCTCACAGGCTTCTTTCAGAACAGGATATTGGAAAATTTGTCGATTAAGTCTTCCTGGTATTGTTCTGCTCAGTTCTTCTTCTTCTGAATATTCCCATTTTAGATCCTCCTTTTTGATCTCATTCTTGATTTCTAAACCTGAAAGAATAGAAATTAATTGACTGTGCCAGAAAGAAAGGAAACCATGAGAAAATGGTTATGACTAAATTACTAGTGGAAGAAAATTCAGAAGCACAATGTCATGTGCTAAGTTTTACATTAATAAAAGTTGAATGTTTTACTTCCCCATTTGAGATCTGTTTAGTTACATTAAAAATCTGAGATTCTCAGTTCTTTTGAGTGATTTCAACCTATGTTTATGGAAAAACGACCACTACCAGCATCTTTTTTCTCTTATACTACATCTTTTGGTGGACACTGATAAGCAAGTTGTTTTGCACAAAAGCAAGGCCAAGAAGAGGAGATAATCCTTCTATATCAGGTTATCCTGAGGTATCTGTTCGATGCTAAAAGCCAAAGCACAAAGCTAAGGCTAGAAGACCCTCCTCTTAAATAGCCTAACCTCTAAAAACAGAAGGTTCCTCAGCATGGGTCCCTGAATAAAAAACCTTTTCTCTAGTTCTGATCAAATAATGCAGGGAGAAAATGATGGCTAGTACCAAGCAAACATAGCCCTGGGACTAGGAGAGACAACTCAGTGCTACCTTCTGCCATAGTAAGATCTGAAAAAAGACAAGTTTTATAGATTCAACACCCATAGAAATCCAAAGCCAGCATTCACATAGAAATGAGTAACAAAACCTGTCAAAAGTAAAATCAAGGTCAGACATTGAAATGGTGCCAGCAAGGAGATTCCTAGAATCACAGTCTCAATTTTGGAATGGACCTTGGGTATTTAGTCCAAATCAGTCTTTCCTACCCCCATTCTGAATGAAGAAATTCTTAGCATGTTGATTTTTTAAGAGGTTTTGGAAACCAAGGTTCTCTGCTTTCTGGCTAGGCTTCTTAAAACCCATTTTATCACTCTCTGAATTATCTATTATATATTCTTCCACAACCTCCCTAGGTTTCCAGCCCCCTGAGGCCTGTTTTCTACCTTGACCAGAAATAGATGTCACCTCTATGAGAACTTCAGGACTGGGGAGACAGGGCAAAGAAAGGGCAATACTATTGTCTCCCCCATGAGAACATAGGCAGAGGGCAGAGACTATCTTTGCTTTTGTATTTGTATCCCCGGGGCTTAGCACAGTGCTTGGCACATGGTAAGGGCTTAAGAAATGCTTTTTAATTTATTCACTTACTCAGGAATAAGAAATGTTGAGTTTCAAAGTAAAAGCAAAAGTGGATAGGTGAGAATCAAAGTAATACAAATAGATGGATTCTGATGAACTCAGAAGGGGATACAGAGGCTGAGCAAGGGGTACATATGCCCACACTCATTCCTGCTGCATTCTGTAGCATCTAGTCTAGCCCAACTCCTGTCTATACTTCCTGTGTTATCCTGTGCATATGAAACTCATAAGTTAATATTTTGATATAAAAATACTCCAAACTATGCTTATTCTGACATATGTTAGTGATTACCACTTAGCAGGAGCTAGAGTTTAGCCACCCTTTAGGCATATCCCTGAAATACAAATCAAGTCCAGAACCCTTCAAAAGACTTGAATTTATCTAGGGTTTGTCCAGGAGAGCTAAAATCGAGGTTTTCCCAAAATATCTAATCTGATTCCAGTCTAACTTTGATGGTCTTCGAGGGCAAGGCTATCCTCAACTTCTTTCTCCAAGTCTATTCTCAAGCCTAGTGTTCTAGGATGCTTAAAGGAGAATGAAGTTGACCACAGGTCTAAGTTTGGGGTATGTCAACAGGCCTATTTTTGTTCTGGTGATGACATAAAAGAAAACACAAGCCTATTTTATCACCTTTAGGGAGGCACTGAAATCATGTCAATTCATACTAATACTAATTTGTTTACAAACAGAGACATACTTTAATATCTTCACTGCAGATAGAAAGAAGTAAAGGTACATGCAGAGCCTAGGCAGGAGCAGGAAAGGAAGCAATGCTATGGCCAGGAAAGACAACACGAGCAGACCTGGACCAAACCAAAAATTCAATCCTAAATTGAATTTATGCAATGGTACCTTTCCAAGCATCAGAGGCAGTGTGGTGTAGTGGCTAGACTTGGTGTCAGAAGAATCTAGGTTCAAGTTCTGACTTGACACATACTAGCTAGTCATGTGACCATGGCAAGTCACAGAAATCCTCAGTGCCTCAGGAACTCTCCAAGTCTACAAATTACAGACAACTGCCATTCTGCATTGGTGAGGGGAATTTCCATACCAGGAGTTCCCCTACAGGGATAAAATCACAGGTCTGGAGCAAAAACAAACCCTATTCTAGGAAGTGTAACATTTAAGTACAGTTCTTTGTCTTGAGGAAATTTGTGCATTACATGGGATTTCTTTATATTCACATTTCCTAGATGAACAGAAAATCTTTTTTCCCCCCTGTGGGCTGAAACTATGGGAAATTTTACAATCATTTTCAAAGAATACAATCCACACCCTCCACTAAAGTCCTTCTCTTAAGCTTCATTGTGACATTGAATTCTTAAAGGCTCTGCTAGTGGAATTAAAGATCTGACTGGTCCTCCCAAGTTGAAAAGGTTTCAAATACAAGGAATGCTCTATTGTCAGGGTGGGGGTGGTAGAGTGTAGGAAAGGAAGGTTTTCAGGAAGTCATTTGGAATTGATAGTGCCTTTTTTTTTAAAAGAAAAGAGCATCAATTTTCTAAACATACAATTAATAAAAAAGATTTTGATTAAAGTTCAGCAACAAACTGTAATCTAAGGACCAGACTAAGTTCAGAAAGGCTGATCAACAGAAGGCTGGCCAGAGCAACTCAACCCTAAGAAGGTATGGAAGGGATACAACCTGAATCATTGGAGGGCCTGCTCAGACCACTGAAAACACATGACCTCAAGATACTGTGCTGGGATTTTTCCACATTCTATCAAATCCCAACATCACACCCCAGATGACAAAGGGAATACCAGCTATACAATCTTTGTAAATGGGGGAAAAAAGGAAGCCTGTTCTTGAGATGAGAACTTTCTGATTTGGTAAACTACTGCCCTATACTCCTGGCCATTCTGCTGATGGGTCCAGAGTTTTTCATACACCTGAGATTCATTGTGAATTGGAAGGAAAGTCTTTGTTTCCTCCAAACTGCAGTGCACACCTGTGATTTTCTCATCCTCCACGTCCCACCGTTGCTTCTGGTCTTCCCAGTTTTTTCCTTCCCTCTTTGCTTGTTTCTCATCAGTCTGTACTCGGTTCTCATTTGTACAGGAGCTACTTAGGACCTCTGTCTCCTTGCAACCCTGAAGATCTGGAATACGTGTATCTTTTCTATGTTCCACTGGAGAGATCAGAAGAGGTTTGGGAAGTCCTAAACATTGAAAAGTAGAAAGGGAAAATCATAGTTTACATTAACCACAAAGAATCCCCAAATTCAGGTAAACGCTAGAATCTCCCAGAGACAAGGGGATCTGAAGAGAAGTTTTTTGGTGGACTATTTAAGATGGTTGAGATATGATGCAGGGATTGGAAAACATGCTGATTTAGGGATAACAAAAGAGCGGCCAATTTGGGCCACCGCTGAAATCAGAAATTAGAGGAAATCTTTCCCATTGTGGATGAGGTAGGAAAGGACCCAGAAAGGTACCCGTGATTCAGTCCCTCCAAAAGTCCATGAAAGTAGGGTAGAAATTACTCTGAGAAGGGAAGAGTTCCTCTGTCACAAAAGGCAATGAAGCCTGTATCTCTCTCAGGTTCTGGTGTTTTGGAAACTGGGTTAGTAAACAAACTGGTTCTAAGTCTACAGGGGAAATGAAGCCTTACCCACTGAGTCCACATTTCTGTAATTCTCCTGCACGATACCCCTGTAGAGGACCCTCTGAGTAGAATTCAAACACCTCCACTCTTCCTGGGAGAAGGACATGGTCACATCCTCACATGTGACTGGTTCCTGTAACAACACCGGTACCTGCTGCTACCGAGAAAATAGCATCGCTCTATCCTAGGTTGAGGGGCAGAGACAGGAGCACAATGATCAGATCAGGACACAAGAAGAGAGCTGAGGTGAGGAGCCTCTGTAGTTAAAGTGAAGTATGGGTGGGGTGGAAAAGGGGGCAAAACAAGAGATTATATACTCAAATAATATGAGGGATGCCTGCAAGTAGTCAAATATGCTTTTAAAAAATCTACCTGATTTGCTTGGGAAGGAAGGGAGTTTGAAAACAGAAAGAAATGAACTCTAGACTATGAAAAAAAATCCCAGGATGAAACCTTGTGATTTCAGAAGGAATAGAGGAACTGCAGCTCACCTGAAACCCAGTTGTAAGGATTACAGCTTCCATCTCCTGATTTCTCTTCCTTCTGTCCCGGGGAAAGGCAGAAACCTGGGGAGTAAGCCTGGCTGAAGGAGGAAAAAGGAGTCATTAGAGGGATGGAAATTGATAAACATTCTGTGACTTTCTCTATGGTCATCTCTGAACTAATTTACTAACTCAATGAGATCCTCCCACAGCCCCTTATCCTTCTGATAGAACAGAAACCAAACAGACAGAACCAAAGAATCAGTGCCCTCTTTCAAAGTCTTCCAGGAATCCTGCACTTGTGACTAATTACCAGTATTATAAATCTGAGAAGAATGGTATATGAACTTTTGTGATCATGAGCCATTTAGTAGTCTAGATTAGAATCTGGGGACTAAAGCACAGTAATCTCTACTAGATAAAACTATTACCTGACTATAAATTCCATGAGGGCAGGAAATATGTTTTAACTAAACTTTCTCTCTCTCCTATGCCTAGGTTGAGGTATGGTTGTATGTTCTTCATACATTGGCCAGTTAACAAATGGTTGTGAAATTGAACTGAATCCCAATTCAGTTGCTGTCCTTGGCAAGGCCTGGTGCATCACATGGCAGAGAGCCAAAAAAAAAAAAAAAAACTTCCTAGGATTAGAAAAAAAAAAAAAGAGGTAAAACAAAACAGGAGGGACATTTTGCTTTGCTTTTAAAAACCAACAAAAAAATGAAACAAAGAAACCACTCATGTTAACATTATTCTTAGCCACATGAAGTTTGCCAATCCACAAACCAACTAGATAGGTTCATATTCAGAATCTAGTCATACAAAAATGGCCTGAGCTTTTTAAAAAGCTCAACAGCCACCAATATCAATTTTCAGTTAAGTAAAAAAGAGGTTAAAATGCAATTTCCAAGAGGCTGTTCCAGCCAATCAGCCTTACTGAAAAAGAAACTTCTACCTATGATTTTTGATCATTACATTTGGAAAAAAGGACCTCTGAGTAAAGACAAAAGGAAATGAAGAAACACTGTGAAGGAAAGGACATTGGAGGTGAAGAAATAGGGCTGACCTGCATTCATACGTAAAGCACTTCCTGACCGTAATTTATTATATCAATTAAATCATCCTGAAAAATCTCTTTCCTAAAGATCTTTAAGATTGGAACCCCTCCCCATGTGAGGTACTTCATCTGGCCCCCAGGAGATGTACTAGAGGGCCTGAGGTGTTCCTTTCCATCCACCAACCAACCACTGCTCCTTACTTGTTTCTGGTCTGAGCTGAGGCTCCTGTTCATAGCCTGACTGTTCCTGCAGTCCCTGATGAGGGCTCCACGATGCATCCTTTGACAGATCATCCTCCTGCTGGTTCTCCTCTTGCTTTAGCTGGTAGCTCATGGACTCCTGTGGTGTCTTCACAGGCACTATCTTCTCCACAAGCACTTCTGGGTTTTGCACACTGACTGGAAACTGGGAATAGCACCATATATAGTTACTATATAGTCTAATATTGGACATAATTCCAGGAAAAGCTCAATCTAAAAACCCCCAGAGAGAGGCATGAAAACTAACTACATCAGAAAGCAGAAATAGTAACTAAAATATTATTCCTTGAGCTACTGTGTTTCCACTTTCACAGGAAGTTTACAGAAGTCAAAGGTTGACTTCTTTTGAAATGAGCAAATATTTTCTATTTAGAGAAACCTATGATGCTCTTGGTAAGAATACTGTCATAAAAGAACTACAGCACTCTCCTGACACGGCCTTCACCATAACTTGCTAAGGATTCCCAAATCTTCGAATTGGGAGGGACCACAACGACCATCTGATTCAACATGAATGTGAACAAGAATCACCCATAGGACTATCATCAGGTTTTTTGCTGAAGACCTCTACCAAAGGTGAACTCATCACTTCCCAGGGCAGCCCATTAGACTTTTGCATTCCCCCAATGAATAACCTCATGTACATTTCACCTTTATCTCAGGTTCTCTTCTTCCACTAACCTAAGCACACTCTGATTGCTCAATAAAATTTAAATTCTTTTGTGGCCCTTCACGAGATACTTCCATTTCAGCCATATTAATCTTAACATTACCCATCTATGCCAAAGTTAGAACAATTATACTGCCCAACTCTCCATCACCAACTTTCATCCTTTTCAGACTTCAGATCCTTATTCAAGCCCTAACTCTTCCCATCAAAGCTTCCAGCCACAACTGTCAACTCAGCATCCTTACCTTGAGCCAGGAAAGACAACCAATGCCCTCTCTTCACTCAAGGGAGGCAGTGACTCAGTACGATGGAAAGAGTGACAGCTTTGTAGTCAAAGGAGTTGGGTTTGAATCCTGACTCTGGCACTTATGAATTGTGTGTCCTTGGGAAGGTCACTTTAACCCTTGTGGGTCTCAGTTTGGCTGGACTCGATGACCTCCAAGGTCCCTTCAGCTCTACATCTATGATCCTAAGGAAGCTGGAGAGGGCTCAGCTTGGTAGGCTCTTCTATGTCAATGTTACAATGTGTAAAGCCCGTGCTTTGTTATGCCCACAAAGCTATTAGCTCCTTGATAAAAAGAACCACGTCTGGAACAGCTTTATCTCTTTCTTAGCATTAACACAGTGCCTTGAACAAAGTAGGATCTCAATAACATATATTAGTTGAATGGATTAACTGACTGATGTGATAGAAAAAGGCAATTTTTTTCCTTGCAGTATGGTGGGAAAACTACTGAACTTGGAATTAGAAATCCATTGATTACAACTCCACATTTACTAATGGTGTGACTTTGGACAAGTTACTCCTGTAAGCCTCAGTTTCTACATTTGCAAAATGGGATGACAATGCTCACAAATCTCCAGAGAGTGAGTAAGCACTTTAAAAATGTAAGTTGCTAGCAGCAGTAGTAGTGGTGATGGTAGCATAGTATCACACAAGATAGGGTAAAAAAAAAAATCTCAGAAAGGTAAGGGAGATCCTTTGTCTCTGATGCCAGTTGACACTCTAATAGCCTCAGCGAAGCTTCTTCCTACCATTATCAAGTATTTCTCTTTCTCACCTGTTGTTCTGGTCTCTCAGTCTCTTTTTGCAAATCCTCAACGAGCGCCACAGCCTCCTCCCCATTTTCTGGATGATGCTCCCTCACCTGGACCTGGATCTCCCCAGGCAGGATGGTCAGGAACTGCTCCAGCACCAGCATTTCCAAGATTTGTTCTTTTGAGTTTGTCTTGGGCCTCAGCCACCTACAACAAAGTTCCCAGAGCGTACTAAAAGCTTCATGGGGCCCAGCCACCTCTTGGTAGCAGAACTGCCTGAAATGCTGACGGAAGGTTTCCGAGTCAGCTGTTCCTTCCACCTGAAGGACAGTTTTCTGACCCCCGGTAGAGTTTTTCTGTGGAGCCTGTACCTGGCGGGTTGAGGCTGCAGCCATCGTTCACCTCAGAGGATGACTTCACTCCAGATGGTCCTTGACTCTGGGGGGTAAGCTCTGTCTCTCTGTCATGTCACTACGTTGCCACCACCATGAACTGGTCCCCAGTGAGAGTAGCTTCTCTCTGGGCTCAGGGAGACAAAACAGTGTCAGTGACAAATATAAGAACAAGCCATTCTCAATTCACCCTGGGGGCTCAAAGAACTAATAAGGACTAGGAATATTCTGCAGCCCATCTTCTCAGACAGACATCTAAGGAGTACAGGCCATCTGTCAGAGATGCAACAGAGGGTGGAGGGAAACTATGAAGTGATTGTTGTGCTTTACCCTCCAACCCCTTTCACCATCGGCAATCTACCTTTGTCCTTCATCTTAGACCTGCTCTCTTCATGACTCTACTAACTTAAGGCATAACCTAAAACACTAAAAATAGGAAAAGTCCTTTGTTTTCCTTACAGCCAATAAAGATATTGTTTCCCATGCCATCAACAGCCTTTCTCCTGCTGCCTACAGAGCCACTTCACCTGTCTAAAATGTGGCCTGGCTCGGCATCCCTCATACAAAGATGGTTCCTGGTTACTCACTTTCTGCCCATCACACTCCCAGTATGCTTGGGTATTTTTGTTCTCTGTTTTTCTCTTCCACTCAATACTCCTGGGTCCTTTTTACCAAAGTGCCACCATTTCCAGAAGAAGGACTTGTTCCATGATTTTAGAAACGGCCCTACACAAATGCACTGTTGGTGAAGCTGAGAATTTGTCCAATTATTCTGAAAGCAATTTGGGACTATACCCAAAAAGTCACTAAACTATGCATACTCTTTTACTCAAAGATACTAATACTAGGCATATACCCCATGCAGATGAAAGAAGGAAAAGGACCCATAGGCACAAAAATATTTATAACAGAATTTTTCTCTTAGAGTAAAATGGAAACAAAATGAATGCTCATCAATTAGGGGAATGGCTGAACAAGTGATGATATAGGGATAAAATCTAAACCTGTGGTGTCACTGGTGTCAGGAACTCTCAAGTGAGGTAATTCCTTCCATCAATGCAGATTAGAGTCTTCTCTGCCACTTATAGTCTGCAATAGTTGCCTAGAGCAGAGTGTGGCCCTAACCAGATAAAAATGTAATTGGGAGATATTTAACAAAATAAATTTTAAAAAATAAAACAAAAACAATAAAACAGATAATGTTAGTTTGCGGTTTTCTAAGTCAATATGTGACCTGATGGGTTGCTATTTGAGTTTGACACCACTGCCATAAAGCATTGAGAGGTTAAGGGACGTGCCCCGCCGTGATCACACAGAGCCAACGTGTGTCAGAGGCAGGACTTGAACCCTGATCTCTTAGCTTTAAGGTCAGTTCTCTATCCACCAGACCATGTTGCCTCTACAAATGAATGTCTTGTACCATAAAAAGTGACCAAAGGGATGAATTCAGATAAGCTGGGAAGAGTTGTAAGAAATGACACCAAATGAAGCAAAAAACACCAGGAGAACAATTAATACCATATCACTGTAAAGGAAAACAACTCGGAAAGACTATAGAACTTTGATCAATGCAATGAACAATCATGACTCCAGAAGACTAAAGATGAAGAATCAGCGATCTCACCTTTTGGCAGACAGATGAGAGACAGAAGACACAGTATGAGACATCTATTTTCAGATAGACAATGTATGGATTTGTTTTGCTGGACTATATTTATTTGTTATAAGGGAGGGCTTTTATTCTGGAAGGAGGAGAGAGAAAGACACAGGAAAGAATGGGACAATAGTGATATTTTTAAAAAGTGCCAATGAAACATTTTTTAAAAAACACAAAAGAGAACAAAAGAAGGCGCAGACAAGCTTGACAGTGGTACTATTACTCTATTAAATTGATATATACTATTATTCTATTAAATTGACATGGGGGAAAAAAAGCTGTACATAATAGAGATACACCACAGTTTCTTTTTTCTGTTCTTATTTGTGTATGGAAAAGTTCATGTTTGTTGATATTTGTCAACAAATAACAATTATATAATAATATAAGGGAGTGAGAGCAAAGAAATGGCCCTATTACTATCCCTTCTTGCAGTGTGGATGATTGTTTCTTCCTATCTTGCTGGTGATGTCTTTATGGGCATCTCCTACCTAATGCTGCACTGACCAACACAACTTCACAACAATATTAATACAGCACAACCAAAAGGTCATTGCAAAATCCCATGTCTTGTTTGGCTGATCGCGCATTTATTACATTGTTCCTATTAAATTAACTGACTCCACAACATTGTTTTATCTAACATTACACTTCAGGTAACAAACTAACAACATTGGAACCCTTTGCCTGTGACTCTCTGACATGTCCAAACAGACGAGACTATCTTGTTGAAATTCTGTGGAATACCTAGCAGACACCTTAGCAGAACTTGGATTTATCTTACTTCCAAAGAATATTCACTTATCATTACATGTCACTTTACAACATCACTTTGAGGTAAGCAGGACTACAGAAATCAAAGTCATGATTATTACATGAGTGTCACCATTTTTACAAATGGAGAAACTGTTACAAAACAGTACAAAACCTCATCTGTACAATTGAGATGACAACCCTGGGTAAAGGTAGGGAGTAGATCTATGATTTCATGGGCATAGGGAACTCACAGGCAAGGAAACTCCCTCTACCAGTGCAGGTTAGCACCTTTTCTACAACTTGTATTAGAAAGTTTCCTAAAGCACTGGTAGGTTAAGTAACTTGCCCAGGTCACACAGCCAGGATGTGTCAGATAGCACTAGACCCCAGGCCTTCCTGCTCTCAATGTTGGCTCTCTATTCATTGCATTACCTTGCCTCTAAATAACATCAGGCAAGAGGGAAAAAATTTTTTCCCAGTCACACCTACAAAAACAGGTGAACCTTGTAGAATTTGTGTGCAGATTTCATATATGCTTCAGATTTCATCCATCCCACTACTTTCTACTTTTCAACTAAAAGATGAAAAATAATTTTTTACTAAATAAAATTGTACATATTTAATTCACCTAAAATGGAGCTACTGATGATTTTATTACATATTTTTTTCCTGTGGAACATCCCCTCTCAGCATTCAACAGTAGTCAACTAATGCGCTTAGACTCTATTTGCCCTGCTATCACTTCTTTTCTGGAGATTTAAAAATTTTTATTTATTTTTGTTGATGTCTTCTATTTTTATATCACATTCATTTCTGAACTTATTCCCTTCTCCTCCCCTTGCCCTTCCAGCCCATTCAGCCATCCCTTATAACAAAGGATCTTTTTAAAAGAGAAGAAAGCAGTTCAACAAGCTAACCATACATCGATCATGGTGAACAGGATTTGCAATATCTCAAATCCATAACACTCCACCTCTGCAATGAAGGGATAGACCTCATCTCCTTCTCAGAAACATTAGAGCCCAAATCCAGAACTTCCAGGTCAAGGAAAAGATACTGCAAATATCTAGAAAGAAAGATGTCAAGTACCAAGGATCTAGAATCACACACTATTTAGTAGCCATCACTATAAAGGAGCAGAGAACATGGAATATGGCATTCCAGAAGGCTAAAGATATAGGCTTACAACCAATAATACTTTAACCAACAAAACTGAGTATAACCTACAGGGAGAAAAAATAGACTTTTAATGAAATAGAGGACTTCCAACATTCCTGATGAAAAAAATCAGAGTTGCATAGAAACTTTGAATTCAAACACAGAAGTTAAGAGAAACATCAAGCAGCAAATATGAACAATGATAATTGAATAAACAAGGATAAACTGCTTATATTTTAGTATAGAGAAATGATACATGTGACCCTGCTGATCTCTATCACTATCAGCATCAGTGGTTATACAGAGTCTAATTAGATGGCTCAGGAGTAATCCTGTTACATCTTCATGATCTTAAGAGAAAAATGGAAAGGGAAGGGAAGCAGAATGGAGGGGTTGAGGAAGAAGGGAAAGGAAGGTTAGAGAAAATTTTCTCAAAAAATTAGGGTGTACAAATAGAAATCTATACAATAAGGAGAAGGGGATGGAAACAACTGATACTTCAACCTCACTCTCATCTGAACTGGTTAGAAGAAGAAGGAATATATTCATACACAGAGTTGGGTACAGAAATGAATTCTATTTAACATGGAAATAGGAGATGAAAGGGAAAATGGGGGAGAGGGAATGAGAGGAAGGGCAGATTAAGGGAGGATTTAGTCCTAAGCAAAACAAACTCCAAAGAGGTACAAAAATATGTATAGCTCTTTTGAGGTGGCAAAGAATGGGAATCAGAGGGGATCCTCATAAACTGGAGAAGGAATGAACAAATTATGATATATAAATGTGATGGACTACTATTGTGTTATAAGAAATGAAGAGGATGATTTCAGAGAAACCTGGAAAGACTTGTGTGATCTAATACCAAGTGAAGTAAACAGAACCAGGAGAACAAGTCATACAATGATGGCAATATGGCAAAGGCAAACAATTTTTAAACAATCAGGAACTTTTATCAGCATAATGACCAATCAAGATTTTAGAGACTAATGATGAAATACACTACCCACCTCCTGATAGCAAGGGGAAAGTCTCGGAGCACAAAATGAGACAAAAAAAATTTTTGGATAGGGCCAACATGGAAAATTGTTTTGATTTACTAAGCAGGTTTATAACAGGGTTTGTTTTTCTTTAGTTCTAAAGTTGTGGGGGAGGGAGAAGGCTGCCGTAGGATGGTAAGAAGGCAAGTTTTTGCTGTCTGAAAAAAATATATATATGTATATAATTCTTAAAAAGAATCAATAACGATGTCTACCAAATAATTCCCAGCAGACCGCAGACAGAAAAGCCTGCTGCATATTGAGAGTTTTGCTGCACGACTAAACCAGCATGAACTCATGCTGGCTTGCACAGAATGTATGCATGATTCAGGTAAGAACAACTAGTGATTTCTTGATACCAGCTCCTACTCCTAATGCCCACAACCAAGTCAAACTTCATTATCCCCTAATATTGCATAATTTATATCAATGATACTGGTGAAAGAAAATCCATTTGCTTTTAAATTCAGCAACCAAAAATATATATGAAATATCAAGAAATACCCATTTGACCAAATGTGTATTGAACACCATATCCATCCATTGTACCAACTAGCTGTCTAAAGACCATGATGAATAGCACTCAGGAAGTTCAATATAAAAAAGCAAACCAATTAAATCATTTGTTAAAACAGCTTTTAAGACCAAAAATTCTCAATTCTAAGTTTGTGACACTTCAGAATAGTTCAAGAACATTTCTTGAAAATTAGAAATTTTGTTCTCATTTACTTTAGATTGGGAAGATGGAAATTAAACAAACAAGTACCTGAGTGATCAAAGCAGAGATTAAAGAGAGATTCCTTTATGAATATCCCATTGTAACTCTATTTCTTGTATAGTCCCTACATATGTCTCATGGGTACACCTTCCCACTCAATGGAATCAGTGGCTGGAGAAGGCTTTGTTTGGGGTAAAGTTGTACTGAGCTTTTAGCAAACTTATTAATAACTAATGAAGAGATAAGTTCCAGTTTTCTCCTTTCATTCAGAAAGACAGATTTGAGATTCAGTTAGACTAAAAAGGTTTTAACATGATGCTTTTTAAGTCCTTATTTTTCTCCCCTCAGTTCTCTCACAGTCAAAGTGAAATACATACGTGGCCTCTAACAGGTACAAATAAACACCCTGGGTGCCTTCCATCCCAGGATCATAGATGGTCTCGATGGCTACTCCTGAGACTAAAGGGTGGGAAGGGGATCCCTGCTGAAGGTACTAGAAAGTAGGGGAGAAGAGCCAGTAACACAAAGAACATGGCAATCAGTGGCCAATCCTATATTAAACCAATAACGTAAGAGAAAGTAAATTTCTTAAAGGTAAAGACTACTTTATTTTTGTCTTTGTATTCCTAGCACCTAGCTGACATTGTTGTTTGGATGGACCTGTGATTTCACTGCTATATGGAACTCCTTATAAGGAAACTTCCTTTATCAATGCAGTTCAGCACCAGCTCTGTAATTTATGATCTTAGAGAGTAGTCAAGGGTATGGGCCTGCCTGGCCAAATACGAATATTTCAAATAAGAAGTCAAATGGGAAGTTGGAAAATATGAATATTATACAATTTAATTCAATATTTAAGTACCTAGTATGAGACACGTTAGCTACATTTAAGATACAGATTTTTTTTTTAAAGATAGAACTCATAATCTAATAGAAGGGAAGGGGAAATAGGCAAATAACAAAAGAGAATGTGATTAAATGCAAAGGAAAGGCCCAGGCAAAATGCCAAGATAAATTTAAGGTCTATGTTTAGCCATATGAAAAATGTTCCAAATTTTTCACAATCAGCTAAATGCAAATTAAAGCAAATCTAAGGTTCCACCTTACACCTATAAGATTGTCAAAGAAGGAAGAAAGGAAGGAAGGAAGGAAGGAAGGAAGGAAGGAAGGAAGGAAGGAAG